CTATCATGAAAGTACTAACTAAATCTATAATTTAATGGAAGAGAGAGTTGCTGCATTTGAGCACACACTGACATAGAGCAAACTATCTACACATGTGCTTGTGGGTCTGGCCTCTCTGCTATCTGCAGCAGGCACATCAACATTCCCTTGTGCCTGAGTTCATGCCATTCTGCCCAGGCAGGACAATGACTGCGTAGAGAGGTCAGGCCGAAGAGCTACCCTGCCTGCACTGGAGTCCCAGCCCCACAAATGACTTGCTCTTTGAGCTGGGCAAGTCCCTTTCTCTTTCTCAGGTTCCTCATCTATGAAAAGAGGATAATAGTATATACCTCGTGGGATTGCTGTGAGTAGATGAATTAGCATGTGGAACGTGCTAAGTTTCAAGTCTTATGAATACTCTTCAGGCCCTGGCTAGAGTGGCTCCATTGGTTGGAGTGTCCTCCTGTACACCAAAAGGTGGTGGTTTGATTCCTGGTCAGGGCACACACCCAGGTTTCGGGCCCAATCCAGTCTGGACGTGTAGAGGAGGCAACGGATTAAGGCTTCTCTCACAATTGATCTCTCTTTCTCTCTGGCACCCGGGACCTGGGCTTCTCTAGCAGCCCTGGCTTCATCCAGAAGGTCATCAGGAAGAACGTCTGGTCTAATTAGCATATTACCCTTTTATTATTACAGATTCAGAGAGGATTCGGAGATGACAATAAGGTAGGAAGCACCAAGAATCTCTCTTCCCACCCAAACAACAATTACAATGCTAGAATGTGCATGATGTAACTATTTTCCAACTCTGGTGTCCCTGAAAGGTTTGTAGTTACTAAGGCAGGACTTGGACATGGAAATTGATTTAATATCAGTCACTTTCAGCTCTGAGCACAATGGCAGCTACCCATCCCACTCCCACAGCAGGCAGCTATGCACGTGCTCCTGGGGCAGCTTATAAACAGCCTGTAGGAACCAGGGAGTGAAAAAAGAACTCTGTCCTCACAGATACCAGGGATTTATGCACTTATTACTGACTGCTACTACTGATCACAAAAAAACACTAACTCAAAGACACCAAGTGGGCAGTCATTATTGTCACATGTCCCCCACTCTTGCAAGCCCATTTATTTATTGCTTACTGAAGTGACTTCCAGATATTTAAGGATCCAGTGTCCTTTGCTCCCCTTTCAATTTTTGCTTTTTCCCCTTTCAGGAGACAGACATCAAATCTAGGACATGCACAGGTGGGGGACATTAGGTGACGGTGCCTGCCCAGGGAAAGGCTCAGAAAAGACCTGAGAAGGCCTTCAGTTTACATATTTGGCTGATCCTCAGACCCTACAACAATCAAAACACTAAAACGAGCTAAGAAAATAACAAGCCCTGGGAAGGAGAATTTGACTTCCAGAGTTACCTCATTATTAGAATTCAAGTGTCCAATTCAAGAAAAGAATCACAAGGCATACAAAGAAATAGGAAAGTATGGTGCCTTCAAAGAAAAAAAAAGATTAATAGAAATTATCGCTGAAAAAAAGAACTCATTCCAGATCAAATACACAAAGACTTTAAAATATTTTTTTTAATATATTATGATGATTTTTTACAGAGAAGAAAGGAGAGAGATAGAGAGTCAGAAACATCGATGAGAGAGAAACATTGACCAGCTGCCACCACACCCCCCACCACTGGGGATGTGCCTGCAACCAAGGTACATGCCCTTGACTGGAATCGAACCTGGGACCTTTCAGTCCGCAGGCCGACGCTCTATCCACTGAGCCAAACCGGTTCCGGCTACAAAGACTTTAAAATAACTGTTACCTGGATGCTCAAAGACCTAATGGAAGAAATGTTGAAAATCAAGAAAAAAAATGAATGTATTAGGACAAGATAAAGGCCTCTTTTCCCTCATGGTAACCTTGCATAAGCCATGAGAAGCATGTGGAGATTGCAGACTTCCCTATTCAAAGTGCCTCTCTATTCAAGCAGGCTTGAAAAGCAGGCTGCACCTCCCCCATTAACCCCTTCCCTGCCGTTTTAACAATTCCAGCGAAATTACAACAGAGTTTCTAGTTAGTAGAAGAACTCTACTCCCTCCCAACCCTTTGTAACTTTACCTGTAAGAAGGTTTTACAGGCTTGTGAAGATGCTAATAGACACCTCTGTAGGACATCTGTGGCTAAAGGACAAACAAGCCATAGCTCCTCAGGACAGCCTCCAGGATCTGGAAAATGTCAAGGTGAAGTCCCCGATCCCCTTCCCTTCTTCATGCATTTGCCACAGCTGCCATTTACTCCCTAATACGCTTATAGAAGAACAACCCCCCACCTTGGGCCCCTTGTGCTACCAAAAGGCACCTGGCCCTTTCCTCCCTTGGAAAATAAACTCCCTCTCTCTGCATCTATTCCTTTCTCAATTGTGAATTCTTTCACAGCCCATGTCCCTGGCCAAACCCTAACAGAATGAATACAATGTGAATATCAATTCAGAGATGGAAAACCTAAAAAGAAACCAAAAGGCAATTTTGGAATTGAAAAGTACACTAACTTAAATGAAAAAGGCGAAGAGATCAACCAAAGGTTATCTATTCATGCATATAAGCCTAACTAATGGACCCAGGCACCAGGGGGGTGAGGGCGAATAAAGACACATATGTAATACCTTAATCAATAAAGAAAAAAATGAAAAATTCACTACAGGAATTAAAGGTAGTTTTTAGCAGACAAAAAAATGATTCAGTGAACCTGAAGAAAGACCAATGGAAAGTATTGAGTCTGAAGAACAGAAAGAAAAAAGAATGAAGACAAGTGAAGAGAGCCTATGGGACCTGTGGGAAATCAATAAGCAGATCACATACGCACTGTGGGACTCTCAGAAAGAGAAGACAGGAGGGGCAAAGAAAATATTTGAAGAAACAATGGCTGAAAGTTTCCCAAATTTGATGGAAGACAGATAAAAATATTCAAAAATCTCAACATTCTCTAAGTAAAATGAACTCAAGAGATCCACACTAAGAAACATAACCACTGACCTTTCAAAAGCCAGAGACAGAATTTGAAAAGCTGTGAGAAGTGAATCATCAGGTACAAGGGATTCTAAATAAGAATATCAGCAGATTTCTCATCAGAGTCTTGGAGGCCAGAGGACAGTGAACTGATAGACTCAAAGTGATTTAAAAAACAGAAAAAAGCCAACCCAAAATCCTCAATCCAGCAAAACTGTGCTGAAACATGAGGGAGATATTAAGGTTTATTCACAAATAAAAGCTGAGGGAGTTGTTACCACTAGACCTTGCCTTCAAAAAATACTAAAGGGAGTCCTGAAAGGTGAAATTAAAAAAAGTAACCCAAAGGCATATGAATAAATAAGCATTTCACTGCAGGCACATACACAGGCAATTATTAAAGCCAGTATTATAACAATGCTTTGTACCTATAATTTTTGTTTTCTGTGAGGTCTAAGAGAATAATCCTTCAAAGTAAGGGGGAATAAGGACACATATGCAATACCTTAATCAATAAAGAAAAAAAATGAAAAATTCACTACAGGAATTAAAGGTAGTTTTTGGCAGACAGAAAAATGATTCAGTGAACCTGAAGAAAGACCAATGTAAAGTATTGAGTCTGAAGAACAGAAAGAAAGAAGAATGAAGACAAGTGAAGAGAGCCTATGGGACCTGTGGAAAATCAATAAGCAGATCACATACGCATTGTGAGACTCTCAGAAAGAGAAGACAGGAGGGGCAAAGAAAATATCTGAAGAAACAATGGCTGAAAGTTTTCCAAATTTGATGGGAGACAGATAAAAATATTCAAAAATCTCAACATTCTCTAAGTAAAATGAACTCAAGAGATCCACACTAAGAAACATAACCACTGACCTTTCAAAAGCCAGAGACAGAATTTGAAAAGCTGTGAGAAGTGAATCATCAGGTACAAGGGATTCTAAATAAGAATATCAGCAGATTTCTCATCAGAGTCTTGGAGGCCAGAGGACAGTGAACTGATAGACTCAAAGTGATTTAAAAAACAGAAAAAAGCCAACCCAAAATCCTCAATCCAGCAAAACTGTGCTGAAACATGAGGGAGATATTAAGGTTTATTCACAAATAAAAGCTGAGGGAGTTGTTACCACTAGACCTTGCCTTCAAAAAATACTAAAGGGAGTCCTGAAAGGTGAAATTAAAAAAAGTAACCCAAAGGCATATGAATAAATAAGCATTTCACTGCAGGCACATACACAGGCAATTATTAAAGCCAGTATTATAACAATGCTTTGTACCTATAATTTTTGTTTTCTGTGAGGTCTAAGAGAATAATCCTTCAAAGTAAGATAAATACATTACTGTGGAGGCTAGTATTACAATTATTAGTGTAGAGATTAGTATCACATTAACAACCAAAGGTGGTGGGGATAGATTTGTAAAGGTGCAGTTTTTACAATTTATTGAAATTAAGTTGGTATCAATTCAAATTAGAATAGTCTAGTAGGATTTTTAAATATAAAATCTGCATCATCACCACAAACAAAAACCCTATAAAATGGACAATATGTAATAATAAAGAAATGTTGGCATTTCACTATAAAAATCAACTAAACAGGAAAGGGGGGTCAAAAAAGCTCTGAGGCATGTAGAAAACCAGTAGCATAATCATAGAAAGCCATCCTCCTTGTCAATAATCCTTTTATATTTAAAATGATTATATTCTCCAACCTGAAGACAGACCTTGGCAGAATAGGTAAACACAAAGGATCCAACTGTATGCTGTCTACAAGACTCACTTGAGATACAAAAACACAGACAAGTTGAAAATAAAAGAATGGAGAAATATATTCCATGCACATAGTGACCCTAAGAGAGCAGAGGTGCTACACTAATTCATACAAAATAGACTTTTTATTTTGCACCTAATGACGGGCCTTCAAAATATATGAATCGAAAACTAACAGAACTGAAGGGTGAAATATACATTTCTACATAATAGGCATTTCTCAATAACAGTGGGAGTCTTCAATACCCCACTTAGAGTAATGAACCAACCAACCAGACAGAAAGTAAAGAAGAAAACAGAGGATTCTGCCCTGGCCGGTGTGGCTCAGATGGTTAAGCTGTCCCATACACCAAAAGATGCCAGGTTCCATTCCTGCTTAGGGCACGTACCCAGGTTGCAGGTTCAATCCCCGGTTTGGGCGTGTATGGGAGGCAACCAATTGATGTTTCTCTCTCACTTCGATGTCCCTGTCTCTATTACTCTCTCTAGAATAAATTTTAAACAACAAGAAAAAAGAGAATAGAAGACTTCAACAATATAATAAACAAACTAGATCTCACAGACACAGACAGAGCACTCTACCCAACAACAGAACACACAGGGTCAGGTTCAAATGAGACATTTTCCAGGACAGACCATATTTTAGGTTAGTAATAGAAATTAACTTGTAAATAAATTAACTACAAATAAAGACATCATTAATAATATAATTACACTTGGCCACAAATTAGTATTAAATAATCAATAGTTTTAAAAAATAGATATCAAAGTGTCTTGTGACCATACGGGATGAAGTTAGAAATCAATTATCACAAGGTAGATTAGAAAATTCACAAAATTGTGAAACTTGAACAACACACTTTTAAACAACCACTGGATCAAAGAAGAAATCACAGGAGAAATTATAAATTACTTTCAGATGAATGGAAATGAAAACATCCCCAAACTTGTGAGACAGCAAAAACAGTGCCAAGGGGGAAATTTATAGCTATAAAAGTTTATAATAAGAAATGAAATCTGAGCCTTGACGGGTTTGGCTCAGTGGATAGTGCATCGGCCTGTGGACTGGGGGGTTCCCAGGTTCAATTCCAGTCAAGGGCATGTACCTTGGTTGCGGGCACATCCCCGGTGGGGGGTGTGCAGGAGGCAGCTGATCGATGTTTCTCTCTCATCAATGTTCCTACCTCTGTGTCCCTCTCCCTTCATCTCTGTAAAAAATCAATAAAATATAAAAGGAAAAAGAAAAAAAGAAATGAGATCTGAGCCCTTTCAGTTGGGTTCAGATTGGTTGAGTCGCCCTGGACACTGCAAGGTTGTCACTTCGATTCCTGATCAGGACACAAACCCAGGTTGCGGGTTCAATCCCCAGAGGTGATGGATCAATGTTTCTCTCTCACACATATGCCTCCTCCTCCCCCTCCTCCTCCTTTCCCCCCTCCCGCTTCCTCTACCTCTCCAAAATCAATGAAAACATATATTTAAAAAATGAGATCTGAAATCAACAACCTAACTTCACAACTTTAAGAACTAGAAAAAGAACTAAACCCAAAGCTAGCATAAGGAAGAAAATACTAAAGATTAGAGCAGAAATAAATAAGAGAAAAATAATAGTGAAAATGAATGAAACCAAAAGTTGGTTCTTTGAATTGATAAACCTTTAGTTAGATAGACTAATATAAAAAGAGAAGACCCAAATTCAGAAATGAAACTGGGGACATTA